CTGATGTTGTGCTCACATCCCCTACGTGATCCTTGTTGAAGGATTGTAGTCCTTGCTGAAGAACTACTTTGCTGATCCTGCTTCGTCTCAAGCTATGTCATCTTTAGTGGAGGTAGGATTTGGTGGCCTCTTTGGGCGTGAACACCTACGTTGGGAGCTACGTTTGTGGATTCCATATCAGGTATATCCCTCCCTTTCTTTTGGTTACAGATCTTGTCCGATTTATTTCAATAACGAACCTTGAAAAATGTAGTTTTTCTAAATCAAGGAATACAATTCCCAAAAGGGAGAAAGAAAATTTTTGAAATTTCACCTAGCCACCCTACATGGGTCAGCCATCCATATGTTCGATCTCCCTTCCCTTCAAAGGCTAGCGAATCGTTCCAATGAACCGATGGATCAAGGAGGGAGCTCGGAGAACAATCGGCAAGCCGCACCCTTGAAGGTCACCTGGAAAGTTCGGCACGTCAGGGTGTTGGAGTATCCATAAAGGAGCATGGGCTTCTTGAAACTTTCCAGGTGATCGCCCGGGTCTGTCGTTCCATCGTACATCTCGAGTGTGGGCGCTTTGAAGTGTGGTGGAAGAGGCTCTTAGATGATGTCTGGGGTAAAGGCATCCATCCTACCCGAGGCAGGGTTCTGGCTGGCCGAGGTGCCAGCTCGGTTCTCTTTGACTTAGCGGAGCTCATCCTTGACGACGTTAAGCTACGCCTAAAGGTCGACGATCTTCTGGTCGATGGGGGCTTGGGATGCTTCTAGGTTCTCTCGAATGCGGTATGGGTCAGCTTGGTTCCTCGAGTACTTTGATGCGGGTATTGTTCATTTCTTCTAGCCCACCTATCATTCAGGAGGTCTCGGAGATCTAAGATGCGAGAAGGAGAAGCATGGTGTCGGCCCTTGGCCCTCGAAGGGGGGCTGTGGTGGCCCGATTTCCCGCCTTCATCTTGAGAACTTTCTCATCAGTGGTGGTGGCGATGTCCTAGTCTCAGCGGTAATCGCGAGACTGTGCAAATTCACCCCCTCTTCGGCTAGGGGATCGAGAGGTCCTCGGCGGCTAGCTAGCACGTCGATTGCTAGCGAACTCTGAGGGGTTGTCCCTATTGGATCCGACTAGTCCAATGCCCAACGTTTTTGGAGACATGCGCTCCCCATGGTGCCCCAGGCTTCTAGTGGGGCAGCTGCCTTGAGGGAGGCCTCCTGTCGGGCGCCCCACCTCGTCCAGCCTCTATACGAGGTTGTTAATCCTGTTGAGGACCACATGAAGTTGGTTCATCGCAACCAGGTTCTAAGTGTTCCTAGTGTTTCTTGCCATGTCAGCTGAAGCTTAGGAGTTAATTCTTAAGTTTCTTAGAGTGTGAGTTTAATTGAACGAAGTCCTAGCGATGTTCCCGCAGACGGTGCCAATTATTGCTGGTCAGAATGGGCTAAGGGTAACACTGTAATTCTACTTCAGAGCTGAGGGCTAACTGAGGAGTCCAAAGTCTAGTGTGGCCAAGGACTGGTAGGTCGGAGCTACAAAGAGAGAGAAAACATCAGAGGCCCTAGGTGCTAACCCGAGGCGGGGACTCCGACGGTCAAGTTAGTATGGGTGCAACACCAGGTGGACGAGGCCTAAGGTGAGAACACTCAGACAAGGCCACAAGGGAAATTGGAGAGTTCTAGGCAGTCTCGAGTCTAGATTCCAGATGTTTACTTATAGAGGATTGTCCCCCTATTTATACTTGAGGCCATCTAGAGATAGGTGGGCTCGGACGGTTAGGATGCAGTCTAGCCTTGAGGATCACGACCATCCGAGGTCACCAGATGTGACCGCATCATTGGCTTCGAGTTGAACGCTGGCCTCTGTTCTGTGCATTCCCTTATTGGGTCCACCCTAGTTGCTTCCATCTGACACATGTGTGCGTGTTATTGGCCAGGGCCATGTGCGCCTACATCAGATAGTATTGTATTGTTGGATATCAAAAGGGCAAAACCTAAAGCTACAAAATCTTTACATGGTTAAAGATCTCGATAGCCAACCAAAATTCTTTTGGTTTTGCCTATAAGATATAGGTTGTAAGGCATTAATATATTTAAGATTTGTGAAGCCCTTTCTTTCCAATTGAACCAGCAAACTGTGAAGGGAAAGGACATTCTATAAAATAGATCCTCTATGACAAAATCCTATGACTGATCATGCAACAATCGACATAGATAGATTTCTCATTAATACCCAAGATCCCATAAACAGTTGCAAAATCCAAAAAAAAATAAAAAGAATCCACATATAAAGAGAAAAAACTACAATGTATAAGCAAGTTGGGTATTGTTTCATCATCATCTTTGGCATAAGCAACACGTTTTTTCAATGTCCATACAATAGGTACATAGTGGTCACTCAGACCATCAAAGTACAAAAGGTGTCGAATAAATACCATATGAATGCCTGCGATGAGTTTATAACTCATTGGACGTATGCAATGAATTTATAATTCATCGCATGAGTGCAACAAACTCGCATCCGAAACGGGTCGTGATGAACTTTGGCTAGTGTAAACTTGTGATGAGATTTAGACACGCATAGATTTGTGATGAGCTTTAAACCCACACAAATTTGCAATAATCTTTGGACATGCGCAACCCCGCGATGAACTTTGTACACAAGCAGATCCGCGATAGACTTCAAAGCTATTACGGAGCCGCGACAAGTGCAAAGCTACTGTGGACCAGGAATGAATGCTAGAAACACATGCATCTTTAATTTATGCGCGTGACAATACACTCTGTAAACCTAGTACAGGTGCACCCTCTAAATAATGACATCATTTGTGCCATGCTGGTTAAATGGGTCACGAAAGGAAGTAGTACACACGGATTATGAGAATCCTTGTACGAAAGGAAAGTTCATACTGGAGATATCTTGTAAGACACATGGTGAAACCCTAACAATGTCCCCTGACAATTGATAGCAAATCCAATATTCTCTTTCCTAGTGCGAATCAAATGCTTTTGACTCTTTCCTTTTGGGACCTCGGGATCTCTCCCTATAAATAGGGATCCATGTCATAATGAAATCATCAACTTATCATTCACATTTGCCCTAGTCTTTAGCCCACCTCTTGTATTTGATCTTCCTTTGTCTTTCAAGGAGTCCCTCATATGTAACCCCACCACCTCACCTACACATACCTTTGGATATCAGGTGATTAATTATAAGGATCTTATTAAGGGTTGTAACTATCTTTACTCTTTAGTAGTGAACAAGTGGTGGTTTAAGTTGGTTCATGTAGGAGAGACCATTAATATGCAATTTCTTATTGTTGTATATGGTATTTTAAATGAACTTCTATTATTGAAGACTTCAGTTAGTTCTAGAAGTAGCTTCTGCACATTTATTATTGATCTATGCTTACATTTATCCCAACTAGCTAAACATTTTTCTTGTTTAGTTTATTACCATTAATCCACTTCTTTATTTATGTTAATTAATGACTATTATTACACACAAGTGAAGTAGATTAATGATTATTGCAGAAAGAAGATTATTGATTGTTAAAATGGTTTATTTATTTATTAAATTGTTGCCCTCTCTATTACTAATTTTCTTTTATCGGTTATGGCACGAGGTTTCTAACTAGGTCCACTCAAGTTTCTTAGCAACAAGTGAGAGTTTGTAGTAGAAGATATTTGATTCTTTTTCCTCTAAAGACAATATAGATAGGGGGCGGGATCATCTTTGTCCCGCAATTCAAAAATTTTGTATTTCGATAACAATTGTACAAAATGAAATTCAAAACACCCATCAAAATAATTGATTTTCCACACTAAGACCATGTTGTCTATAAGTTCTTTGGGTTTATAGGTGGGGCCCACATTGGAATGTTATCGTTACCGATGCTTTGATGCCTATGTAAGTTCTAAACATGGTACATATGCATATGTAAGCCTATTTTAGCAAGGACAAAGTAAGGAATCAAGATTGAGTTTTATAAACTAAATAAATTTATGTTATAAGTGGGGTCCAGGTGTATTAATAGATAAAATGTATTAATAGCTATACATGTGGTACATATGCATATGTCAATCTATATCTTGGTAGAGTCAAAAAAATTAATAAGAATCTAAGCTTTGCATTTTATTTGCTATATTTACTTTTTACAATTCAAACAAACAAATGCAAAATTGTATTATTAGTTGCATCACCTTCAACTAAACATGACAAGTGCAAATGCCAGTGCAAAACTAAACTAGATTTGCACTCCAATGCATTTACATTAGTAAAAATCATATTTACACTGCAACCAAATGCAGCCACAATAACAAATGTAACCATCACTAAAGGTCTAAAATTAGTAACAACTTTTGAAATTCGCCACTATAAGTAAATATGTATAGTGACGGTCATATGTTGTTTGTTACTATAACAAAAATTTATAGTGATGAATGTAACCGCTACTATAAACCTAATATTAGTGATGGATTTCACTATAGGCAAATATCTATAGTGACGGTCATATGTTGTTTGTCATTATAACAAAAATTTATATTAACGACACTATAGGCCTAATATTAGTGACGGATTTCAAATTTATCATTATAGATGATCATCTATAGTGATGGTCATTTTGTTAATATAACAAGATTTTATAGTAACGAATGTAACTGTCACTATAAAACTAACATTACTCGTCACCATAGTCTATAGTAATGCCACTTATAGTGATGGATGAAATTTCATCATTTGTTTGTCACTATAGATCTATAGTGACGGATTTCCTTTTTCTTGTAGTCGGACATGAAAAAAAAAAAAAAGAAAAAAAAGCTATTTCTAGATTAAAAATGTACTTCGATTACTGTCAAAGGAGGGAAATGCGGTTCAGTGAAGGCCTTGTTGAGTGGACCAATATAAATAAATAAGCAACAATCCCAAGTGTCATATGCTTCTTTTCTTCTAAGCCGAAATGTGATCTTTTATACTTCAAGGTGTTAATTAAACATATGCACTCCTCAGAATACATTGTTTATATTTTGCGCTTGATCATATTGTAGACAGTAACAAGTCCCATCACGAGCGAGTGATCAACAAAAGGCTCGACCACCAGAGTCAGTACATCATCTCCTAACAATTCTCCCGAGGGTGCTTTCTTTAGATACACCTGCTTAATTATTCATTACAAACTATATTAATATAATATAACAAAATTAGATAACACACCATCTGACTTACTCTTTAATTGAAACCCAAGAATAATAAAAAGAATTTAATTTGCAAGCAATCAGAGCAAGACCCAAGGGTCCCATGCATGTAGTAAGCCTTTGGGTCAATGAAGAAAACAAAAAAAAAAAAAAACGACAACCTGCTGAACAGGTCAGATCAGATGAATCAACGGTTAAACTGTCTGAGTCAACCCAACCCAAAATATGACTCATCACTGGTTTGACTGGCCGGTTGAACAAGGTTCATTGAAATTAGAAAGATATTGGACTTAATTACCTCTGCAACAAGTCGACCTTCCCTGTCTACAATTTTGCATGCTGAGTTTCTTCTAGCTGAGGCAAGTATTTTGAAAGAATCTGTTTCATTCTCATGACATGATACGGTGACTTGGCAGGGAAAATCTCGTAGAATATTGCAAGTTTTTCTAACTCGGAACCATGGCTTCCCTTTCTCAAGCTTGGAACCAATGGATCTATAGCCTTCCCAGTGTCCAGTAAAGCTAAATTTCTGTAAAATAAATCAAAAACAGAAGACAAATTTTGGTTTCATTCTCTTCAAGAAACTAAATACTGCAAAATATATAATATGAGCGCCATGGAATTCATAATTCTGTTACGTACATACCTTTCTAACCACAGTCAGTAGGACTTCGCCTCTGGCATCCATGAGATAAACTCTGTCATTGCGTCTGCAGTCGTAGTTATCCATGCGATAAATTATCTCTCCATGTGAGTCAAAGACGGTGCAACCATTGCCGCTCATTATAAGCGATTTCATCCATACTGTGAATATTTCTCTTTTTAAACTCATGTAACATGAAGAAGAAGAAGAAGAAAGTAGTGATTGAGGGCTAACCTTTGCCATGTGAAGATAGCTTGTACATGTAGCCCATTGCAGCTTTTACATGGTCCACTGATTTGGGCATTCGATCAACTCAATTATAATAAGAGCTAGCTAGAAGTATAATATTAGGGCATGGGTTTGTTAGTTGAGTCATCTAGAGAAAATATCCAAGTGACCTAAGAATCTTCCTCCTAGGAAAACTGCTGGGAGGACCCAGAAGACCCCATGCATACTCGGACCGGCCGGATGGTTGAACCACTGACCCGGTAACCCAGTGGCCTATCTGGGTCGATCTCGGTGAACATCGAGTCAACGCATTGTCATGAATTTAGAATTTGAAGCATTAATTCGGACAGCCAATTACATTGATGTGGATTGAGGAGAGCAAAGAAGTTGCCAACCCTAACAGTTCCAACTCCGGTCTGGTCTAAATTGAACACATCATCTCCTTACATGTCAAAAAAGAAAGAAAAAGGCAGACCAACTAGAATAAAGAGCTTTAGTTGGAATTTGGAAACCCTTTTCCAAGTATCTTAATAATATTCTTTAGTTAATGCCATGATCCACAATTGAGAACCAAGTAAGAGAAGGGTCCTTTTCCAATTAATTTGTCTATTATAATTCTTTGGTCTTATATGTCCAACTACACCGAATGCAATGTGCTTTTAGATGCTTGTTTGTGTTCTACCGTTCTTTAGTAAAAACGGTGATAAAGGAATTGATATTTTAATTTTGATAAAGCACTTCTGCATTTGCCATTGACTTATTGGCAACAAGACAAAGGAATTAATATTATTCAATTAATTGTTAGAAACCATTAATTGAATGGACACTAAAACCTGTTAAGTAGTGTTAACTTCTAGCATTGTAGAGCAAATGAATGATAAAATACATAAGAGAAAACGGGTTCTACTTAATTAATTAATCACTGGATCATCACTGCTCAGAGATTTTTCAAATTGTTTTAGGGAGTGCTGCTGACATGAGACACACCAAAATAATCTATTGCCTTAATCCTTATCCCTTCACCAGTAACTACACTCTCTCTCGGGTTTGAGTCAATGAGGTTTCTTGTATTTTCAATTTCATGTAGCCAATAAAACTGTTCATTCACTTCCCCAATCCGTGGCATCTCATTACCCCATGCTTGTTCAAGCTTCTTCTCCCCAATTGATGATTAACTTTCCGAATATTATTCTATAAATAATAAAGTGTCTGGATAAGTTACATAAATAATTGTATATTAATGCAACTATCTTGAAAACTTCCTTAAAAATAGTGGGAAGTTTCTAAGAGTTGCATAAATTTGTTTATTGGCACTAATTCCTTGTCTAGATAAAATGGTTCAACTTAGAAATGGACAAAATATTTTTGTGCTCCGCTTTATCCATCAAAAGGAGTATGGTGTAAGAACCATCAAATTATGTCTATGTTTCTCCTAGACGGGCAAATGATTCAATGTGAATGTATATTACAGCCATATATTCATAAAAAGAAGATAGAAGCTGCCCCCTTGCTCAAATTTGTCAAAGTATTGAGAGTAGGAAAGTGGGTCATGTTGTTTCTGGGCCGGTACAGCCTGGCATGATTTATGAGCCATGGCTAGCTTTGGTTTTGAGGGTCGTAAGCCGGCAACGGCAAGGCCCGCTATGGGCCATGCCAGCCCACCAAGATTATAGTCATTGGGGACCACCTAATGGCTACTTTTTTTCTTTTTTGACTGTTTTTACGCAAATACCTACTCAATAACTCTAGACAGCTAGTTTAGGAGTATTTTTGTAGTTTGGCTTTGGAGGGCAGGGGGGAGGGGGGGGGCAAGAAAAATGATAATAGTGTCCTCCAATAGGCTAGTTTGGGGGGCATTTTGGTGAAATGATAATTAACTTTGTAAAAGACCAAAATATTCCTCCAAACAATTATAAAACAACTAGTTTTAAGGGTATTTTGGTTAATTAATTTAATTCCAACTCCTATATATACCCTTACCATCTTCATTCTCATCACACTAACTCTCATACTCTCATATACTCTCCTATACACTGGCATACTCTCTTAATCTCTTGCTCTCTGGTCCCTAATTCTCAACTGTATTTAAATTTTAACAAGTAAAATGATTTCTCAATTATCTCAAGTTAGCAATTTGGGAGGTTTAATTAGAAACTTCACCAGTTGAAATTAAGTTAGGATTCTGGATCGGTGGACCAAGTAAGTTGTAATTAATTTTTATTTTTAGGGTTTTAATAATACAATTTTTTCAAAATGGCTGGTTCCTCTCAAAGTCCCTTTCCCAATATTTTCGGCTTTAAGGATGTATGGTTACAGTACAAGATTGTTATTCATGCTAGTGTTTTTATGGTCTTTGCTATTGCCAAAGCCACCCTTAGTACTACTACTAGGAGAAAGAAAACCTGAGATAAAAAACTGCAAGTTGTTTTAGAAAACAGATCTTTATTCATTAAACCTGATTTAGCTTGATGTCCCTGTTGGAGTGGTGAGTCAAACAAGGTAGAGTGCATTGGATCTGCGAAGAAGACAAATGTCAAAGAGCCTAGGTTATGGACCCAGGTGTGGAGACTTCGACGGTCAAGTCAATACCGAGCTGAGAAAGCTAAGAGAGCTGAGAGCAGGGAGGAACAAAATGAGAGCTAGAGAGCTGGCAATATGAGAGTGTACCATTTGAGGGCGAGGAACTGCCCTTATATAGGCCTCGAGGAGTGGCCAGAATGTCCCCGACATACTCAGAGGTAGCGGGCCTCAACAACCAGGATTTTAGGGAACACTCAAGAATGGTCACTAAATCGACCACTTGTCGTTTTCCCAAGAAATGGGGGAGAATCATGTAACTGCCACTATGTGGGTGATGTGCCCCCGAATATATTGGAGGCACTAAATGGCCTAAATAGTACAAGAAGAGTGAACGATGTAGGTCGGTCATCATGAGGTCAAATAACTCGTCAGATGCTTGGCCCGCATAAACGCTCCAAGGTGATGACCGATGTCTTAGGCCGGTCTTCCCAAGCTGTCTTCAACTAAGCTTGGGTAGTCCTGGTCAGCATGAAACGTCCTGCTAATGAACATTTTCCGAGGTGTCACCACGTTAGGTGTCGAGGTGGTCTGAGGGGGCTCTAGGTGTCCATGTGGCAACAAATGAGTGGTGTGCCACTTTTACCCATCATCAAAACCTATTCATTAAAATCCTAATCCACCTTTATTGGAGAATAAAGTTTATCCCAGCTAGCCCACTTCATAAACTTGTTACTATCATACTCCTCAACCAAAGCTTCCTCTAAATTTTCTCTAGTTCATTAATTCAAGGATTTCTTGGAGAATTGGACTACACTCATGCAATGAATTGGGACAAACTATAAAGCTGATTGAACAAGAATTTGTCTCCTAGCATAAGAAAGAGAAGAAGCTCTCCACTTGCTCAACTTCCCTCTTAGTTTTTCTAAAAAAATCTAAAGATTTTGCTTTCTATTTTCTCGAAACATGGGCACCCCTAAATATTTATAGTTCTGACTCAATTGAGGCATTTTCATTTGTTTTCTCAACTTTTTCATCCTTTTTTTGGGTATTATGGCTAAACTAGACTCCTTACTTTTGAAATTTGAGATCTCTTGAAATTTGCATAGCAATTTGACAGCTTCGTCCCTATTTGCTTTAGTAAAAAGAACATGCTATAATAAAATTGAACTTTGGCAACAGGCAATTTCTTATAGTTGTAAATAATTGTTGCTGAAAGATAAATTTCAGCTACAGTTGATCAACATTGTTGCTAAAACAGATGAATTTGCAACAAATATTACCTAACTGTTGCTCATTTCATCTCGAACTATTACTAAATTATTGAATTGGGAACAAAGCTTACCATTGTTTGCTAATTGTATAACCAAATGTTACTAAATCAGTGAATTGGCAACTAAGGTGAATCACCTATTGTGCATCTATATGTGATTGTTGGTAATGTCATTAAATCTTTAGCAACAATCATAGAAAAATTGTGGGCATAAACATACTTAACACATCAACAAATATGTTATAGAACAAAAATTCACTTTAATGAATGAGATTAAGTGAATCTTATGACAAAAACAAAAAGGTAATGCCTCCAAACATATTTTATATTTTCTAAGGAGTAGCTAAAATTTTGAATAGGGATGTCAATGAATCGGGTTCAATACGAGTTTGGCTTAACCCAAACATAACTTGATTGACTATAGCAAATTAACTTGACTTTATTGTTTCACAACCAAGTACTTAATTAATCAAAATAGGGTCAAACTATGACATCATAATGATGGAGAAAACTAATTATGTAAAAATTATTAAATATTTAAATATAATGATGGAGATATTTAATTAAAAAGATAGAAAATGCAAAATGTGATGAAAATGTTTTCCGATGACATAAATATATAATTTCTATTTTTGGAGTTCAACTAAGTTACCAAAATTTAATCAATGAACTAGTATAATGAAAGTAAACCAAATTAATGACCAATCATGGTCACTGGGTCATAGAGTACAATAAAACTTTTGGAGGCGAGGTGTGCCTTTCCCTGTTATTTTTGTCCCAAATACTAATTTTTAGCATTTTTTATAAATAAAACAATTAAATTTGAAATAAGCATATAAATTAAACATAAAATAATACCTAAATATACATATGTTACATGCATGTAGAATATAATTATATATAAATCATGTTGATGTGAGGTCTAACTTGTTTGATAACCTAGATGGTCCTTACCACATCATATCATTGCTGGGAGATGTGAATGCATCATCATCATTGCAGTAAGGTTGAAGTAATGTCTTATTTTAAACATCTTTTGAATCACATAACCAATTGAAGGGTTGGAGGCCATCATCGTCAACTTACAATTGTTTTTGGTCAAACACATGATGATCATTGATCCCCATGTATTTGAAAGGGCATATTAAGGATATGGGTTGAGTTTGTTATGTTATGGTAGAGTTTGACATGAATTGAGATAGCCTACATAGACTCTAAGAGTTTGAATTTGAGTTTGAATAGGTTTGGTCTATTTTATACTATAAATATGATGTAATTACTATATT